CCCCCCTCACCAGACCCCTCTCTCCTCGTGCCAAGCCCCCCACGCCAACACCCCCCCACTGGACCCCTCCCCCCACTCCAGCACCCCCTCTCACCACACCCCTCCCCCCCGCCAAGGGACCCCCTACTTGAGCCCCTCCCCCGCCAAGGGGTAACAACCCGAACTCTCCCGTTCAAGCCGAGGCGGGAGCTGTGCCGGGGTGACCCCAACCCACCCTCGTGCCACAGGGCCCTGGCCTGGAGATTTCCCCCCGCCCCCATGCCAATGGGTGCTGGCCGGGAAACCCCAGACCCCCCATCAGCAGCCCCTGGGCGCTTCCCCCAGCGGTGCCCAGCCACGCTGCTGACCCCGGGTGCTGTTTTCCCCTTTCCCTGCAGCGCCTCCCCCTGGCAGAGCCGGCCATGCCGCTGCCCCTGGACTGCGCGGGGGCCGAGTCCCAGCTGAGCCGCACGCCCCTGCCGGTGCCTGTGCCGGCCTTCTTCCAGGAGGCCGAGCGCAGCTTCTCGGCGAAGAGGCCAGGCCGGCCGCTCAGCTACACCCTCCCGCCCCGACCGCGCCACAAGGGCACCTTGACTGTCAGCCGGGTCTTCACCGGCCGCCAACCACAGCCCTGGAGCCAGCCCCGGCCGCGCAGCGTCTCCTTCCGCGGCTCCCAGGTCCGGGCGCTGGCCCCCCGCAGCCGCCTCTACGACCCTGCCCGCAGAGAGCCCTTCTTCAGCCAGTGCTTCCAGCTGCTGGGCCGGCTGGGGCGCGGCTCCTTCGGGGAGGTGTATAAGGTAAGGGGGGGGACACCTGGGGTGGGAGATCCCAGCTGGGGAAAGCGTGTGGGGCTTGGGGGATAACTGGGGTGGGGGATTAGGGGGATCCCAGCTGGGGGATGAGTGTGATTCTCAAGCTGAGCCTGCCCCCCACTGGTGGCTGATCTGTGTGCAGTAAGGAGGATGAGCGTGGAGCTATTCTGTGGGGCAGAGTTGTGGGGAAAGGAGGGAATCTGTCGGGGGAGCTGGGTCCTGGCCCTACCCTCCACATCTGACCTGTCCCCTGCAGGTGCGCAGCAAGGAGGACGGGCGGCTGTACGCAGTGAAGCGCTCGGTGGAGCCGTTCCGGGGCGCCGGCGACCGGCAGCGCAAGCTGGCCGAGGTGCGGAAGCACGAGCGGGTGGGGCGCCACCCCAACTGCGTGAGTTTCGTGCGGGCCTGGGAGGAGCGGGGGCAGCTGTACATCCAGACGGAGCTGTGCCCAGCCAGCCTGCTGCAGCATTGCGAGGGGCGCGGGACGCTGCCCGAGGGCCAGGTGCGGGCCTGCCTCTGGGACCTGCTGCAGGCGCTGCGCCACCTGCACGCCTGCGGGCTGCTGCACATGGACGTCAAGCCGGCCAACGTCTTCCTCACCGAGCGCCGGGTCTGCAAGCTGGGCGACTTTGGCCTGGTGCTGGAGTTGGACCGTGGAGACCTGAGTGACGCCCAGGAGGGCGACCCGCGCTACATGGCGCCCGAGCTGCTGCAGGGGGAGTACAGTGAGGCGGCTGATGTCTTCAGGTGGGCCCACTAGAGCCAGGGATAGAACCCAGGAGTCCTGACTCCCAGCCCCACCCCTCTATCCACTAGACCCATCCCCTGGCTTTCAGTCCGCACACCCCGTTCCTTGACCGCCACCCCGTCACTGCCCCATGTGCTCCGAGTCCGGGCACCCTGGTATGTGGCAAGGAGCAGAGGATTCTGGGAGGCTGGCTCCTGGCTGACCCAGCGTGCACATCTCTCTTCCAGCCTTGGCATGACTATCCTGGAAATCGCCTGCAATATGGAGCTTCCCAATGGAGGGGAGGGCTGGCAGCAGCTCCGGCAGGGCTACTTGCCCCCTGAATTCACTGCCGGTAAGTGGGGGTCCCCTCTCCTGGGACACATGGGGCTGCTGATGGCTACCCAGTGTGCCATGGACCCTGCTTCACACATGGAAACCTGCTGGAATTGGCATTCAGTGTGGTGGTCGAGCTGGGAGGGGGCTGGGAGCCAGGACTCCTGGGTTCCATCCCCACAGAGTAGTACACTGGAACCCCGCTATAACGCTCCCCGTGATAACGCAAATTCATTTATAACGCGGGGCGAGTCTGGCCCCGGCTGCTGCAGCAGGCGCGGGGCGAGTCTGGCAGGCACGTGGCGTTTGGGATCCATGCCCCAGCGGCTGCAGCAGGAGCGACTCTCCCTGCAGCCCCGGCGCGCCCCTGGGGTTCTCACCTCTGTCCCCGGCAAGGCCCACTCCAGCCCGCATCCTTCCCTCCCCGCCGACCGATGTAGGGGGCGGCAGCGTGGAGGAGGGGAGTGCCCTGCTGGGAGCAGGCTGCAGAGTGGCGCAGAGCCCTCCCGGCAGTCAGTGCGGCAGGCAGGCCAGCGGCGGTCGTCTTTGGGGGCCTCACTCCCCTGGCCACAGCGCCGGCCAGAGTGCGGCAGCCCCGCGGCCCCGCTCTCCTGGCCGGAGCGCGGCTGGCCCCGCTCTCCCGGCAGGGCCTCCGGCCGGAGCGCAACCAACCCCGCAGCGCCTCTCCCCCAGCCGGCAATCCCAAGTGCCGCCCCAGGAATTGGGCCCCGCCGGCCCTGGCGGCAGGAGGGGCCGAGTGGCCAGCGCCCCAGCTGAAGGAAGCCCTGGCCACCCCCCTTCTCTTTCTCCCCCCGCTTCCTCCTTCCCCCTAGCCAGGGCGCGGAAGCTGAACACAAGTACAGTGGAACCCCTGCTATAACACGACCCTGCATTTACCACGATTGAG